GTTCCAGCAGGCTGGGTGCAGTGGCTCACACCTGTAATCCCAGCCCTTTGGAAGGCCAAGACAGGTGGATCACCTGAGGTCAGGAGTTCGAGACCAGCCTGGCCAACGTGGAGAAACCTTTTCTCTACTGAATGTACAAAACTAGCAGGGCATGGTGGCGAGTGCCTGTAATCCCAGCTACTGGGAGCTGAGGCAGAAGAACTGCTTGAACCCAGAAAATGGAGGGTGCAGTGAGCCAAGATTGTGCCACCACATTCCAGCCTGGGCAACAGGGCGAGAGTCCATCTAAAAAAAATAAGTGAATAAAAAAGAAAACAGGTCGAGCAGAAGCTCTGTAGTTGATGAGCTCCATGACCCTGGGTACGTTATGGAACTCCTTCACAAGTTTGAGTCCATGGGGTACATAATAATAGTATCTTTGGCCGGCACAGTGTCTCACGCCTGTAATCCCAGCACTTTGGGAGACCAAGGCGGGTGGATCACCTGAGGTCAGGAGTTCGAGACCAGGCTGGCAACATGATGTAACACTGTCTCTATTAAAAATACAAAATTATAAACTGGTTATTCTAGTTTAGACAAAAAGAAAATGGAAAAAAAGAGAAAAAATAATAATAAAAATAAAAATACAAAATTAGGCGGTGCATGCCTATAATCCCAGCTACTTGGGAGGCTGAGGCAGGAGAATCACTCGAACTTGGGAGGCAGAGGTTGCAGTGAGGTGAGATGGCACCATTGCACTCCAACCTGAGTGCAACAAGTGAACCTCTCTCAAAAATAAATAAATAACAAATAATAATAGTAATAGGGCCTTCACCTCACAGGACCATTCTGAGGAACAGAAGAGATAATCCATCTCAACAACAGTGCCCAGCGCATGCCACGCACCCTAAAAGCACTATGACAATTAGCACAGTGTCTGGCCCACAGTAAGCAACTGACCATCCACCGCAAATTACTGCTATCCTGGAAGTTAAATCCTGGCTACTGGCCACACGCTGGACAAGGGAAACTTCCAGAGCATTTTCTGGGTTCCAGGTTCTGCTCTGGGGTTCCTCTACTACAGTTCGGGTGCCCCTGGCTGTCACTGCCACCACTTATCCAGGAGCAGAGGGCAGACCGCCATCATGGGCTGTTGAGGTTGCACTCTCACCTGAGCTGCTGGGAAGAGATGTTCCTTGTCCACCTGGGCTGCAATGGGAAACAATTCCTTCTCCGCAAAGTCCCGGCACGTCTGACGCAACATCTGGTGTGTCTCAGGCAGTTCCACAGACTGGTAAATGGTGTGTAACTGCCGCCAGTCTCTAGGATGGAGAGCTGTCAGCAAGGGCAGAAGTCAGTGGAAGGGGAAGGCACGAGATCTCCAAGAATACTAGTGGCCCACTGACTCAGTGGTTCTCCACCAGGGAGGATTTTGCCCTCCAAGGGACATCTGGCAATGTCTGGAGACAATTTTAGTTGTCACAACTAGAGGAGGGGAATGCTATTCGTACCCAGTGGATAGGGGTCAGGGATCCTGATGAACATCCTACAAGGCACAGGACAGTCCCCACAACAAAGAACTGTCCCCAAAGAACTGTTGGCCCAAAATGTCCACGGCTGCCACTGAAAACCCCGTATTAATTGAATGCTTAGTATACTCACTAGACATTTTCATACACTCCATCCTTCAGTCCTCAGTATAATGCCAATAGTAATAAGACCTCAGCTCTGTGGCCTGAGGCAAGGCTTTTTTTCTTTTTCTTTTTTTTTTTTTTTTTTGAGACGGAGTTTCACTCATGTAACCCAGGTTGGAGTGCAATGGCGCGATCTCGGCTCACCGCAACCTCCGCCTCCTGGGTTCAGGCAATTCTCCTGCCTCAGCCTCCTGAGTAGCTGGGATTACAGGCATGCACCACCATGCCCAGCTAATTTTTTGTAGTTTTAGTAGAGACGGGGTTTCACCATGTTGACCAGGATGGTCTCGATCTCTTGACCTCGTGATCCACCCGCCTCGGCCTCCCAAAGTGCTGGGATTAGAGGCTTGAGCCACCGCGCCCGGCGAGGCAAGGCTTTTAAACTTCACTGAGCCTCCTTTACCATAACAAGTGGAGGACAATAGTATTCAGCTCCTAGGAGTGGGAAGATTGAAGAGAGACTAACTAGCACTTAGCAGAGTTCTCAGTAAGGGTTCCCCTTGTAATTCAGGCCAGGCAAAGGAAGCCCTGGCCATAAGTGGCACAGTTGCTACAGCTGGAGACACATAAGATAGGAAAGGTACTGTATTAACCAGCAAGAACATTTATGGAGCACCTGTTACATGCCAGGCGCAAAGTGCTTTACACACCCTGTGATTTAATCCTCCCAACATCTCTGATTTTCCCTGTGGACATTTTACACATAGGACAAATGAGACTGAGAGGGCTGCCTTGCCCAAGGTCACAGATGCGGATCTGGTTCAATCCCAGGCCTGGCTCCGGAAGAAGGGCACACCCTGAACCCCTACTGGGGGTGTAATGAGGGGAGGGAGGTGTGGATGCAGTCGTAAGAAATGGGCGGGCGGCGGGGGTCAATCGAGGAGTAGCGGTCCGTGCCGGAGCCAGGGATCCCTGAAGGGCCGGGCTGGGCCGACGCGAGCAGCAGCACAACTGGGGCAAAGGCCGCGCGCGCTCCTGGAGCGGGCAAAAGCCGGCGGTCAGGACCTCTGCCTGCTGGGCCAGTCGTGGGCCGCAGCCCCGCCATGCGGAGTCCGAGCGCACTCACCTCTGCGAACAGGGCCAGAGGCCCGGGCGAGGAGTGCGACGGCCATGGGCGACAAAAAATGTTCTGGGGTTCTCCTCCGCGACTTCCCGCAGCTAGCGCGCGGTTCCGGACTGCAGGGGCGGGACTCGGGGCAGAGGCCACGCCCCTGGGGCCGCGAGGGAGGGGCCGAGGCGCGTCCTTGCCCCGGGGGCGGGGCCTCCAGTAGTCCCTCCGGAGGCGAAACACCCACGCCGTTGGTGCCCTCATTCGTTAATCAAAATGTCAACAAAACAAAGCTAAGGACAGAGCCTCGCAGACAGGCCAGAGAGGTCTTTTAAAATAAGATGGCGATCTTCGGCTTAAAACCTTGTTGGCTTTGTCGGCAGGCCCACCTCTCCTAAAATCCAATTCTATGGCTTGAAGCGCCAAGACCTGCCCTATCAGGGCCCATGTCCGCCGTTCCCTGGTTATTGTTGCTCAGCTTTATGAGGTAGCTTTTCTCTAAGACCCTTAGCTGGTTCGTGACTCGGGGCTTCTGTGATCACTGTTCCCCTTGACTGGAATGCCCCCTCTTCATTCAAATGTCGTGGAGGCTTACCCTGACCACACCAGGCCTCCCCCATCGCCTATCTTTTGTTCTGTTTATTAAAGGCACTTTGCATCTGAAATTATCTGCTCCCCCACTTGCTCCAAGAAGCTTAAGGACTTTGTCTTGCGTTGGTGCTCAGTATTTAGGCCTCTGGAGTTGTGTTGCAAGGGAAGGAGCTTTCTTTTCCCCAGAGGATAAGGTGGGTGGTACTGCTCTCTGTTCCACTTCAGTCCTGTCGACTTCACTCCCGATTGGGGCAGAGCCACACTTTTGACCCCTAGCATCTTCATCAGGATCGCCCTGCCCAAGAAGCTACGTTGATTTTACTTGTCCCATAAGGGTCTTATCTTGCACAAATGTGATTCTGACTCCCATAGCGCCTGGCACCACCCACACCCTCCCAGGAACCCACACATCCCTCTAACTGCCTCTTTCCTAACACTCAGCCAGGCATCTGTTCCCAGCATTGACCTATTTGCCAAAAATTCTGTCTCTTCCTCTTGGAGGAAAGTAGAAACCTCAGTTTACCTCCTAGAGGAGAGCCAATCAAAAGATACAGCAAAGTCCTTAATGTGTTACCTTTCATTTTAAATAATGCATTTAAAAGAAAGCCTCTAAATTCTCAGTACTTTAATGAATGGCTATCATTGGCACATGCTCTGAGGGCTTCCTCACCTTTCAGTCATCCCACCTGGTATCAGCCCTGGGTAGAAGAAACCGTGAAACAGCAGGAGAAAAGAGAGAAATAAGTGAGTTGTGTTTGTGAGCAGAGGCCAATAATAATTGCTTCAGGTGCCAAAGAGCATCTAAACCAGATTCTTATCTGAGAACTGTTTGTGACTGTAAATATGAATGTAAAATTTCATTTTAAAAGCATCCAAGTTTTCCTGTAGAGACAGAATCAGATAATGGTTGCAAGAGGCTGAGGTGGGGGAAGGGACCTGGCTGCAAACACAAGGAACTCAGGTACTTTCTGAGTGGGTATGATGGAAATGTCCTATATCATGACTGTGATGGGGTAATAAGACTATTCATTTATCAAAATGCATCAATACTCTTAAGTGAGGTGAATTTTGCTGTAGTTCAAGTATTCCTTAATAAGTCTACCTTTATGGCTGGACACAGTGGCTTACACCTGTAATCCCAGCACTTTGGGATGCTAAGGGGGGCAGGATCAGGAGTTAAGACCAGCCTGGCCAACACAGTGAAACCCTGTCTCTACTAAAAATATAGAATTAGCCAGGCATGATGGCGGGCACCTTTAGTCCCAGCTACTAGGGAGGCTGAGGCAGGAGAATCACTTGAACCCAGGAGGCGGAGGTTGCAGTCAGCCATCACTTGTGCTCTTTGCCCAGTCTGGAGTGTGATGCCACCATCATGCCACTGCACTCCAGCCTGGGCAAAAAGAGCGAAATTTTGTCTCAAAAAAAAAAAAAAAAAAAAAAAGCCTACCTTTAAAACATGCATGTAAACTTTCAGTTCACAAAACCACTCACTCTGGTAAAATATAAAGCAAAAATACTAAACCTAAATTACAGTGCAATTCCCTAATCACCCTAGAAGCCAGCTATACTGTAGCTAAACTACTTACAGAAGGGCCAAATAATAGCCGAAATAAGAGACACTTGGAGACCTCACCCCACACCTGCACCCCACAAGGGGAGACAAATCAGGAGACAGGATAAGGGAGACGTACTGCGAAAATCTTTCTTTTATTACTGTCTCTTGTGGCAAAATAACATTTTACACAAATAAGTCACCTAGTTTACTTTGGACACAAAGACAATAAAAACTGGAATGTGGATCTTGGGTGAAGTGGGGAGCAGGAGGAAGGACAGATCAGGTCATTGATGTTTCTTATATTCTGTAAAAAATAGATTTACAGGAAAAAAAAATAGACTTTTACAACTTCAATGACTTTACACAGTCCTTTGTAAAACAAGCGGTAAATCCACCTCCAGCAGATCCTTCTTCAGGCTGAGATGTTCCGTGACATGGAATGTGAGTAACACATGGTTCAATGATTAGGCTCCTACATCAGGTACAGCAGCACCTTATGCCACAGGAATCCTCATGCACTAGGACAACAAGTCTGTCCTGTGAACTTCTGGACAGTGTCCTTACCCCCAAACCTCACTGATATCATAGTGACACTGGGCATCAGAAGAAAGTAACTTTACAGAGGGGAAAAAAGAATATGCTGGAAACCTAGCGGTGGGGCAGGACACGCTAAGGCAGGACTCACCCAGTTTGTACATTAGACACAGCCTATTAAATCCACCCCAGAATGAGTTCTACTTCAACTGAAAACATAAACTGACAATTGCCCAATCACTGCCATTTCACAAATTTCCAGTTTATGGTCAGCCCCAGATCACATTCTTCCATCCTATGTATTGCAAATCAAACAGCCCAAAGACTGAGGTGTCTTCAGGAAGTACATGCTGAAAAAATGCTTTCTCTCCAAAATAGTATTGAGCTAATACATAAGGAGACAACAGCCTACTCTAGCTCAAAACCTCTTTTACTTGTTATGTCCTCTGTTTAACTTTTAAAACATAGAATGAAATAAACTAGGATCTTCTTTGGAGAAGCTAGAAAGGCATCTTGGCCCAAAGGCTGTACAGGAAAAGAGGCCCTCTCCAGGAGATTGCAAGGCAGAGGAACAGAAGCAAGAGGGGAAGGGGTGAGGGGGCAAGCCCTGTGGCAACAGGTGGGCCTGCTATTCTGAGGAAATGTGCTCCCACCTCCTGACAGAGGGCAGGGCCCCCTATGCAGGTAGTTTTTCTTCTCCCTCCCATTTTATCACCCACAAGATAACGATTCCTTAATAACATGGCAGCCTGACTGGTTCTGTTACTTTCAGAGAAAGTATGCCTTGCAATTTTTTCTCCCCAGCTCAGGTAACAAAGAAAAGGCTTGAATTTCAAACTCATCCTGGTTAACACCCCAGAGTGGGAACGCTTCTCAAGATTTCCTGAGCAGCTAGGCACAGGAACCCAGAGCCCCAGATACAGAACACCAGACTTTCAGGAGCAATAAAGCCCTGTCCTGCTGGGCATGGACCAAGCACTGTTTGCAAATGGTCTCCAGCGAGACTAAGGCAAGCTAACAAGGAAGAGGATACAGCACAACACAAGCCAGATTGCCCACCTCCTCCTTCCTCCAGGTCCTCTTCCTAGCAAAAGCAAACACTGCAGATAAGAGCTAGCCCACTAGAGTACTAGATACAGTCTGCCCAGGGGCATGTTTCCAAGACACTCTCTACTGAGCAGAGCTCTGGGTAGCTCCAGAACCATATCCCAGATAATGTTCAAATATCAAATAGTAAAAACTCCCCACCTGGGCCTCTGTCAAAGAGAGAAGGGACTGTTGTTAAGCTTGACAGGAACATGCAAATCCCATTTGAGGAGCCACAATGAAAAACAGAAGGTGGGGAGACAGTGCTAACTGTGCTGACATCTGCCAATGAGGAGGTGGGAACAATGGCTATGCAGCTTTTCCCAGCAGCATAAGGGACAGAGCCACACATAAGGCACCTGGATTTACAATGGACGCCAGTTCTGAGTGTGGCCGGTCTGGTGATAAGAAACCCATTCCACAGGGTGCATGATCTCTTCCCTCTCTCAGGGCTGAGTCCAATGCCAACACATGGGGGTAAGCTAAGACCTTCTCAGTGAGAAAGCTGTCAGCATGTGGCATCGCCAAGACTCTGGCCTGGTACAAAGCACTGGGTCAAGGTTCAGGGCCACTCACTCCAGAGCCCACACAGGGAGCAGCTCTGGTGGTGGATATGCAGGAACTTCTGTGGCTAAGTGCTGTCTCTTTTGTCCCTGGCCCCCATACAGCTTTTCTCCTAAGCACTTTGGGACGCAGCTCTCCTGTCACAGGTACTGTTACACCTAACAGTCACTTACCAGATACCTGGGTCTTTCCTAGGGACATTTTTCTACTGATGTTAACTGGACCCTGACCATATCAATCATCTCATCAGAGGGTCGTGGAGTCTGTCCACTAAGGGTCTGAGGACAAAAGCAGCCCACAGATGTGCAAGGGAACTTTTATGAGAAGACATCACTCTGACAGGCCACCTCAGCCTATTTCACCCTTTCTGAATACCTAAAACAATTCTAACTACAGTTTGAAGGATCAGATTGCATTACGTAGCTCTGATCCACCAGGATAGTTCCAGAAACTACTTCAGTAGAAAGGTAGATAGGAAAACCCCCCCAAAACAGAAATCTACAAAGAGCTTTGGAGGCAAATCCCCATCAAAAGCCAATCCTCCAGGCTGCGCAGTGCAGAGAAAAGTCAAATCTCTCCGTTAGAAACCTGCGGCTGATTTTTAAACATATCCTCCCAAACATAAGCCAGATTAGCCCCAGGAAGCTGATTAATACAATCACAAGTCTAACCACATATCACATATGCTGGGAACACCAGTCATTTTATAAAACCTCCCCAAACGAAGTCTGGAAATAAACAAAATTCAAGTCTTGCTCTCTGGCCTCAAGATACTACTGTTCTGTGAGCAGAGCTGACACGTTCTATTTCATAAGAGACTCAGAAGGGAGGAGCCAGCAGAAGCGGAGCAAGCTTATCTGTCCTCCAAAATGAGAACAGAAGGCACTGCCAGGCTGAAACCTTGGTCTATCCTCTGGAGGGCTGGCTGAGGACCCTGGAGGTGAGATGAAGCAGCAGCCTCTCCACAAGCAGATCCTTCAGTTTGGCAGCCTGAAGGATCTCTTGGTGCCTCCACTCTTGGAACCTTCCCACCAATGACCCTTTCAAGTTTCTTCCAGTTGGCGTAAGACTTCGCACAGACCAAGGGCAGACTGTGCTGATGGCAACTCCAGAGGGAAGAGGAGGAGCTACCTGGAAGAGGCCTACCTCTCGGCTTCCCACAGCACCCAGGAACCTCAAGAGCTGCAGACCTGCCAGTAGGCCTGGCCAGAGCCTTCTCACCAGGCACAGCTATGCCTGGAGAGACAAAGGGTTTGTCAAGACAACCAACAGGCAGCCAGAACTACAGAAAAATAAAACTTTTTTTATCTGGATTCCAGGAGCTTTATCCTAACTTTTTACTTTACTATAGTACCTCTGAGACCTAAGGGACAGGGGGGAAAAAAAGGGAAGAAAAAATACTGGGGAAGAAAACACAGCACTATCTGGCACCTCCTTTGGCACACAGGAAACTTCCACCCCAGCCTTGGCTTCCTGGGGCCAGGTTCCAGATGTGTGTTGACAAACTGCAGCTTCAATCGCCCCTGTGTGCCAGGATCTTGTGGCCGCAGCAAAGCACCTCCCCTGTCTACTCCTGCAGCACTTACTGGCCTCCGTTATAGGCATAATCAGCCTTGTTGTGCATTATCAGCTTGTTGTCAACAAAGTAGAAGCTGTCAGAGCGGGTCTCGTAAGGATTTTCAATCATCAGACGAACTGCAAGTCAGGCAAAGGGGAAAAAAAAAAGCAAAGAATTATGTTTGAGTCTGCCGCACAGGGTAGGTGGCAGAAAACTTTGTATCCCCTCCAAAATAAGCCAGCACTTCAGAGTATACTCTGCCAGAATAACGATGAGGACCGAACAGAGGGAGCCAGCCCTTGACAGCTGGAGAGACCAGAGGCCCCCAAACTGAACACAATCTGCATTTCAACATAAGGACGCAATCAGCTGTCCGCCATGGCCTCCTCTGTCATCGCCAGCCTGGATTTTTCAGCTAAGACGCCAGGGAAATGTGCTCACCCTCTTGCTAACATGGACCCCTCCAACCTATTTACTCAGTGCTCCCAGCTGACTGAAGCAAGCCCTGACCTCTGGTCAATGGCCCACCTCTAGATATTCCAGTCCAAATTCAGAAATCTGAGCCTCACTATGCCCACGTCCCACAAGCACCCCTGACAACCCAAAGAATCCTAGGTGGGAATGAGCGCAGGGAACACAGGGCAGGTAGCCTTCTCTGGAGACCTTTTGGATATTAACTCGCAAATGATCCAGCAATAGGTCTGCTTGTCTTGGAATCTAAATTGAAGTCTTCCGTTTGTTCAGGCAATTGCCCAGACCTCTTTAACCATACTGGAGGGTAAAGATAATTAATAGTCACCACCGCTGATCAGTTTTGAGTTAATGATTACATGGCATTTTAAGTCCCCTGGAGGAAGTGCTGTTATTCATCACAGTTCTCGAAAAGTGAAACTGATTTTTTAAAGTTCTTTGATCCCACCAATGCCAAAACTATTTGGTTTATATGCAGAATATTGCCCTCCAAGCTGATTTGGCTTCATGGGTAAAACTTGTAACACTATACATAATCTTTTCTTGCAAGTATGTACATATTCCAGCCAGCTTGGGGAGAGGGGTTCAAGTCAGAATCAGATGCTGTCATCAACACACTGCCCCACATCTCAGCAATCCTCATTTTACCTGGGAACTGCACTGCCACACATGTATAGGGTACATGGCTTTCAGAATTTGACAATTCTTAAGGAACTGGGATTCTGAGAGGACCAATCAGTGGATCCTACCCAACAAGGCAACTGAAGGCATCACTAGTCACAGGATTCCATTCGCACCCTCATAAATGCCCTGAATTTTCCCTAACTATTCCCAGAGGATGCTAACCTGAGATGGCTAGGCCAAAGTCACAGAAATTGACAAGGCCTGGGGATGGGTTGTCACAGGCCTCCTTTTATCTCCCTTAGGCACTGTCTTCCCACAGGAGGCATCTAAAAGAAGGGCCTGTATTATTAAAACCTTCAGGCTGGGCGCGGTGCCTCACACCTGTAATTCCAATGCTTTGGGAGGTTGAGGCGGGCGAATCATGAGTTCAGTTCGAGACCAGCCTGACCAACATGGTGAATCCCTGTCTCTACTAAAAATACAAAAATTTAGCCAGGCATGCTAGCAGGCACCTGTAATCCCAGCTCCTCAGGAGACTGAGGCAGGAGAATCACTTGACGGAGGAGGTGGAGGTTGCAGTGAGCCAAGGCTGTGCCACTGCACTCCAGCCTGAGCAACAGAGCCAGACTCTGTCTCAAAAAAAAAAAAGCGGGGGGCCAAGCACAGTGGCGCACACCTCTAATCCCAGCACTTTGGGAGGCTGAGGTGGGCAGATCACGAGGTCGAGTTCGAGACCAGCCCGGTCAACATAGTGAAACCCTGTCTCTACTAAGAATACAAAAATTAGCTGGGCATGGTGGCGCATGCCTGTAATCCCAGCTACTCGGGAGGCTGAGGCAGGAGAATCGCTTGAACCTGGGAGGCAAAGGTTGGAGTGAGCCGAGATCGCACCACTGCACTCCAGCCTGGGCAATAGAGTGAGACTCGTCTCAAAAAAAAAAAAAACAAAAAAAAAACCTTCATTGCTCCCATACAAGCAGAGTCAGACTTTGAAACAGGAGCCAGGAGCAATAGGAAATGAGAAGCCTGAGGTCAAATGACTAGATACGCATCATGTCACCACTGCCATGTGACAAAGACCAATGCCTGGGCACTTGACCAGATGGGTTTTCAAGGTTTATTCCTTGTAGTCCTCAGAATCAAGAATGCTGTAAGAGTCAGGGGATACATACTGACATCCTCCGAAAGCTGGGGAAACTCATAGATATGTTCACAAGTGTTCCTACTGCTGGGGATGCAGAAGCCAAAATCAAAGTCAAAGTTTTTCAGCAAGTGTTCCCGGAAATAGTGCCGTTCGATCATCCGGAAGTTTGACACAGGTTTGTCTCCCACTGTGAACTCCACCCTGGAAAATAAATCTCTGTGAGCCCGACTTTGTCTCCTCCCACCTCTAAAGCCAACCCAAAACCCAACCGAAAACATTCTTCTCTGTGAACAAGCAGAATGCTCTTCCCTCAGGTAGCAATGGCACTCACGTAGCCCCGACCGTCCGGAGGCGGAGAAATGCCGGTGTGAACTGGTAACGAACAAAACGTCCTGCACTGTTGTCTATGTCTCCACCTCCTTCCTCCTCATCCTCCTCCTGGTCTGAAAGAGCACACAGAATCTTCAGTGCACTGTCTCGGCATTCTCAATCCAAGAGTTCTACCCGCAGTACCAACAGCACAATGGCAACCAGTTCCCAGTAATCACACCAACAAGAAGGATGGCCAACGTTTATTGCGCACTTGCTATATGTCAGGACACTTGCCATAGGGCAGACTCATAACAACCCTGCAAGATGTTACCATCTCCATTTTACAGATCAGGAAGCTCAAGTTCAGAGAAGTCAGGTAACATGTCTGAAGTCCCTCAAACAGTAAGAGGAAGGAACAGGGATTTGAATCCAGGTCCATCTGACTCAAGGGTTGTTCTCCAACACTAAGTTGTTAGCCTTTTTTTTAAAAAAAAAAAAAATAATTTGGGGGCTTATGCCATAACCTAAGGGTGAAGGCTGAAACACAAGCTGGGAACTGGGCACCTGACACGGTCTATATCATACACTCTAGGTCTGTAGCTGACCAAGTTGAAGCGCCTGCCACTAACCTAAAAGAATGAGACTACAAAAGTTGACACCTGTCGGCCAGGCCTGGTGGCTCATGTCTGTAATCCCAGAACTTTGGAAAGCTGAGGCAGGCAAATCACCTGAGGTCAGGAGTTCGAGACCAGCCTGGCCAACATGGTGAAACCCGTCTCTACTAAAAATATAAAAATTAACCAGGCATGGTGGTGGGCGCCTGTAATCCCAGCTACTCAGGAGGCTGAGGCAGGAGCTGCAGTGAGCCATGGGGGCACCATTGCACTCCAGCCTGGGCAACAAGAGTGAAACTCTGTCTCAAAGAAAAAAAAAAAAAAAAAAAAGTTGACACTTATCAAAAAGTTATTCCAATGAATATAAAGATTTCTGGCAGACATGCAAAGATAAACCACTAGAAATACTTTTGTTATTTAAATAGAAGACACTGACCTACAGCCTTGGGATACTGGAGTTCCTTGACTGATGTCTATTTCTAGGCCATATCAGACCTAACCCTTACCACCTGGGAAAGGGTGAAGCAGATGTGGGGGCCCCTACAAGGTTAATGCTGGTCTCCGGTTTAGTCCATTCCTGAACCCAGGAGATGAAAGATTTGTAAAATGAATCAGAGAACAAGCATTCTAATATGAATAGGAGTTAGTACCCGCCAGTGTCCAGTGAGGATATTTTCTCCAGGTCTAAGCTGTACATGAGTACAACATAAGAAAAGTCTTTTTCAGCATCAAACATCTCTGCCTTTGACAAGCCCAAGAGCGACGGGGCAACCAGGCTGAGTAGGGGTTCACACCCAGAGACTCTAGAACCCTGGCTCCAACAATGGACTGAGAGAGCAAATCTTGGGGATTCAAGTTCATCAGAACAAGTGCTGCAGGAAGGTACTGATTTCAGTGTGAGGATATTCTTTTTTATATTTTATTTATTGACTTATTTTAAGATAGGGTCTCACTCTGCCAACCTCGCTGAAGTGCAATGGAGTAATCACAGCTCACTGAAGCCTTGATCTCCCAGGCTCAAGCAGCCTCCTGAGTAGTGGGATCACAGGAATGTGCCACGAAGCCTGGCTAATTTTTTGGTATTTTTTGTAGAGATGGGGTTTCACCATGTTGCCCAGGCTGGTCTCAAACTCCTGGGGCTCAAGTGACCTGCCAGCCTCAGCCCCCCAAAGTGCTGGAATTACAGGCATGATCCACCGCACCCAGCCTCAACGTGGGGATAGTCAAGTGAATCAAGATCCTTAAATGTAAAAACTAGAGAGACTGAACATCAAGATACTTTACAGTATCTTCAGCTGAATGAACTTCTTGAAACGTTCTGTCTTATACTGAAATGACAACTCTGAATCTAATCCAAACCCACAAACCTGTAGTAGGCCTGGAGTCCTTGAAATGTCCCAGGTACTGGGATATGTGGCTTAGGAATGAGAACACCACAGACCCAGGAAACTAGCTGGTCCTTATCTGACCATCCCAATAAAAAACTACCCACAAGCTTGAGCCTTTAGGAGCACTAGTCAGTATTAGATTATGAAAGCATAAATACCACCAGGTAGGGGTAAAATCAGGGCCTTATCAAATTTGCAGGCTCTTTCTGAGTGGCAAATCAGATGAGATACACTTATCAAAATAAGTTTACAAACCACGCTGACATTACTGGTATCTGTACCAGTGTTCTAACAAATGACTAACTCCAGGGGGCGCTAAACCTCCAATGAGGTGCTCCAAAGGTTTCTGTGGTCCCCTGGCCAGAATGAATCACCCTGACTCTGTATCACAAGCCCGGCAAGCGGCTATTGGAGGCAAATTTAAGGAACTCCAAGTAGTTGAGTTCCTGGGTCTGTTCCTTCAGAAAATGGTCAAGATTAAAATCCAAACCAGGACTTACTGGGAAATCCATGGCACTATGTAAAGGAGAGTGGGAAGATGGCTCAAACTGCCTCATGTCTGGACTGGAATCTTTCCTATCACCCTCCAAGAGGGCTCTAGGCTCAGGTGAGTTTTCCTCATTATAGCTTAATTTCAAGGATTTCTCTCCCAATTAGAGGCAACATGATAAGATGAACAAGCACAGGACCTTAGGCAAGTGCTGCTTGGGGATTCTAGGCCTCAGATCCTTCGCTGTAAAATGGAGATAACAGTAACTCCTCACAGGTGTGAGGATTACATACACTGATGTGCAGAAAAATGTGGAACACAGTGACCAGCAGAAACATTCAACAAGCATCAGCCTCTGAACGCAGCTTCAAACCAGGCCATGGGAAGAAGTCATAGAAGTGGGACACAGTGGAGTCCAAAAAACAGGATACAGTGGCACACAAAGATTTGAGTTTCAAAGACCTTTGGCTCGAAACCAATGTCTAGTGGTCACTACAACATTGAGGCCTACCTGAAACACAAGGTTTGGCGATCTCAAAAAGCACTGTCCCTGTCTCCAAATCTCGAATTTTGAAGCGGGTGAAATCAATACTGTAGATGTTGTCTTCAGGTTTACATAAATAATCTGAAAATGAGAGAGAGAGAAACCAATACTGTTAAATAATCCTCCAAAACTACCATTTTTTTAATTCTCAAGTTTTGAAGCAAACTCAGATTTTTTCTTACACAATACACTTAAAATACTCCCAAAAACTTTCTCTTGTGTTATCGTTAGCAGAAGTCATATAAACAGAATTAGGGGATCCAACAAAGAAAAAAAAGAACAAGGACTTGCTTTGGATGAAAACTTACAAAACTGTTAGAACTAGGATAGAAGGCTGGGTGCAGAGGCTCATGCCTGTAATCCCAGCACTTTGGGAAGCCAAGAAGGGCAGATCATGAGGTCAGTTCAAGAAAGCCTGGCCAATACGGTGAAACCTTGTCTTTACTAAAAATACGAAAATTAGCCAGGCATGGCGGCGTACACCCAGCTACTTGGGAGGCTGAGGCAGAACAATCGATTGAACCCAGGAGGCGGAGGTTGCAGTGAGCAGAGATCGCACCACTGCACTCCAGCCTGGGCAACAGAGCGAGATTGTCTCAAAAAAAGAAAGAAAGAAACTAGGATAGAAAAGGGGGATTTCTTTGGAAACACCTAAAAATCTTTCATTATCTATCAAGTTGGATATCACAACAGGGCAGAACTTTGTATGGAATTCCAATCTAAAATATTTAAACTGACTTAGCAGATAATACAGTGCTAGTTTGCCAACTGTCAGTGTAAGAAAGCCGAGATCAGCAAATTTTTCTGTAAAGAGCCAGATTCTAAATAATTTAGGCTTTGCTGCCACATGGTCTCTGTCACAACTACTCAACTCTGTCACTGTAGCCACAAAGCATCCACAGACAACACGCAAATGAATGACTGTGGCTATATTCCAATAAAACTGTATTTATGGACACTGACATATGAATTTTACATAACCACGTGTTACAAGATTTTAAAGTTTTTTTCAACCACTTAAAAATGTACAAATCATTCTTAGTTTGTGGGCTACACAAAATCATACAGTAGACCATACATATCCAGGCAACAGGATAAAGCTGCTGGTGAAGGCATTAGGCCCAAATAAGTAGATGTAACAACCTGAGCAGCTAATTCAAATAATACTGATCACAGCAAATTTCACTGATTTCTTTCTAGGATGATTCCAGATAGCACCTTTTCCACAACTCATTTTGATGCTTTATCTTTTATAGCCTGAGTTAGTTGTTTTCGTGTTTTACAAGTAAGTTGTCTTTTTTATTTTTTTTATTTTGGACACAGAGTCATGCTCTGTCACCCAGGCTGGAGTGCAATGGCATCATTTCCGCTCACTTTGCCTCCTGGGTTCGATTCTCCTCCTCCCAAGTAGCTAGGAGTACAGGTGCGCGCCACCATGCCTGGCTAATTTTTGTATTTTTAGTAGAGACGGGGTTTCACCATGTTGGTCAGGCTGGTCTTGAACTCCTGACCTCGTGATCCACGTGCCTCAACCTACCAGAGTGTCCAGACTACAGGTGTGAGCCACCGCACCCAGCCACAAGTTGTCTCTTTAGTAAGATAGCAAGAGAACTTATTATTCTGTAACTGCTAAAAAGGCTAACATTGGCTTTGCACTCTTAGAGAGTACTCAAATAACCTGCTTGATAGAATGAACAAGACTTTAAGATGAGTAACAAAGAGGCTGCCAGGCTCTGACCTGTGGCTTTCTCCAAGAAGCTGCAGAGGTGGGTCTGGACAATGACCAACAATCCCAAGCCCCCAAACAGGACCCGAGCGCTCACTGAGAATGCTGCTTAGGGCCAGGAACAGAATACCCTAACTCACCTTTGATGGCAGGAGAGGGCATGAGATTACCAAGACCAGGTGCTGAGCACTGTGTACTTTCAGAGCTCCAAATGAAAACTGGTTCAGATAAAAAAGCTTTTTCGAACTGTTGCAATAAAACTGAATAGCAAGAATGTCTAAAGATACGTTCAGGCCTGCTAAAGACAGTCCCAACCCAAACAGTGCTAGGAAATGGGGGCATCCAAATACCTAGAATCAAATTAAAACTCTTTGAGAATTCCGTTTCGCGCAGGTGGACCAAAACTTCCATCCAAACTACTAGAGCTGCCATCAGCAACTTGGGGTGCACCTGAGCAGCCTTGGGCTGACTGGTATAGCAATTCAGACACCACGGCGGCCTTCGATTATCAGGGAATGCTGCCGCCGCCACAGGGTTAGGAGACTGAAGGGCGGGAGTAATGGGCAGGGCAAGATAGGCTTGTGACTGCACACTCCGGTTGAGGGGGGTGGGGAGTAGCCGCAAGCGAAAAGACGTCAAGTCAGGGATTGGCTTGGCAGAGAACAAAAAAAGGGAGGTCACCCAGGGCAGGGACTGGGCAATATTTTTTTCCCACCCATCCTCCTATCAATGAAAAAGCTTAGGATGGTTGCCTTTTGTGCAGGAAACGCATTTCTGAAACCCTGAAATCATTTAATTCACGAGAATAAATGTCAAAAGCAGGATTCACATGTCGGAGTTTGTACACAAACTGAAACTTTATTTTTTGTTTTAATGTGGCACAGTTTTAAATGGGCAGGAAATGCCACGACCATGTGTTGTGGGTAAGAGCCCACCTGCACACTAAGGCGCAAGGCTTCGGACCCAAAGAGGGAGGGAGGCACGGCAGGCTGCAACGGGGGAGGGCGGCAATGGGGCCGGGCGGAGGAGGCAGGTAGGGCTTCTGGCCTGCCAGGGAGCTGCAGAGCTGGGGCAGGCCGGCTGGGGGCGCCTGGCTGAACGGGAACTTCGCGGACGGCCGGGGTTCCAGACTGGGGGTCCAGGGGCCCACTTATTAGGGGACCTCGGCTCCCGGCCGGCTCAGGAGGAGCCGGCTCAGCTGACCCGGGCCCTCTACCCAAACAGGTCCGGCCGACCTGGGGAACCGACCGCTGAGGGGCATCCTAGCGTGGCTGGACTCACAGGAACGCGGTCAAGTCCAGGAGAGCCCTTCCCCACCAGAGCTACGTGAGGGTGGCAGGGGCAGACCACGGCCGGCGGGGCAGCGGGAGGCGCGGCCTGAGCGGCCGAGGGGGTCTGGGGAAACTCCTGCGCCGGTCGAGCGGCCGGATCCGCGGAAAGCTCCAGGAGCTGGGGCCCGGCGCGAGGGGAGGGCGCGGCCCGCGCGGCACTCACTCTCGGTGACCCGGCTGAGGCGCAGGACGTGCTCGGGCCGGATGGTGTCCAGCGCCAGCAGCTCCTGCTCCGTGACCGCTGCCCCGACGCCGTCATCGGCCGCGTGGTGGGACGCCTGCCGCCGCGCCTTCAGGCGGTTCAGGACGCCGCCTCCCGCCTTTTTCTTCTCTTCCTTGCCAGCCACCAGCCCCCCAGGCCCAGCTGCCGACGCCGCGGCAGCAGCCTTCGGGTTCAACCCGCTCATCGCTCCGCCGCCAAGATGGCCGCCGCCTCCACAGCGCGGTAACTATGGAGAGCGGGGGCGGGGCCCAGGGCCTGGCGGCACCGGGGGAACGAGGCCCCGGGGCGGGAGTGGGCGGGGCTCAGGGGCGGGGCATCGGCTCTGCCCCAACTTTGGTCCTGCCAGGTAGAGGGCGTAAGGTTGCCTGGTCGCCCACGAGCTTTAAATGTATACCTTACGGTCAAATGAATTTACGTCATATAAACTTTCCTCCTCATCCTCCTCCTGTTCTGAACGAGCACACTGAATCTTCAGTGCACCATCTAGGCATTCTCAATCCAAGAGTTCTACCAGCAGTACCAACAGCACAATGGCAACCAGTTCCCAATAATCACACCAACAACAATGGCCAGTGTTTACTGTGCACTCGCTATATGGCAGGACACTTGCTATAGGGCAGACTCCTCACAACAAACCCTGCGAGGTATTACCATCTCCATTTTACAGATCAGGAAGCTCAAGTTCAGAGAAGTCAGGTAACATGTCTGAAGTCCCTCTAACAGTAAGAGGAGGGAACAGGGATTTGAATCCAGGTCCATCTGACTCAAGGCCTGTTCTTCAACATTAAGCTATTAGTGGACAATGCATGTTAAGAAAATGTTTATTAATATATTTAGCATAGAAGGTAAGTTAAAATGGTGCTTGTTATGCAAAGGCAGCTTCAAGACAAACTTTCCAATGAGATTGCCATCCCTAAGCCCTACTTTGCCAGGCCCTGGGCTAGACATTGAGCTAGGTTACAGGAGATGTAAGAGGGCAGGGATTGGGTCTGCCTCACCCCTGAATTCCCAGCAGTTCGGCTAATGCCTGACACAGGGTAGGTGCTCAGTAATGGCTGAAGGACAGCCTGAACAGTATCCCACTATGGAGGAGCTCCCACTTTTCATATAATTCATTATGTGACCCTTCCTCTTCACAAGGCAGGTTAGTATGAACTGGAAGACAAACTAGACTCATTGCACTGTAAGAGATGCAGCAATGGTGCTAGGAATATACACAGGAGTGGTTTATTCTAACCTGGATGTAAGAGTCTGAGGGGTTGGGAAGATTTCACAGAGGCAACATCTGCACTGACCCTTGGAAGTTAGCCATGACTTCACCAGCTGGCCAGAAGTGGGTCAACAGGGGAATGTGGTCTACCCTTTTCCACTCCAAGGGGTACCTTCTCTAGGGATTCTAGATCTGCACTGTTCTGTGTTGGAGGCCTGGACCTGACTGATGCAGCGTGTCTGCTAGGTCTGATGTCACTTCTCAGCCAGGTTAGAGTAAAATTGCAACCCTCCCCCAGTGCCTCCAGACGTTCTTCTCAGGCCTTGCTTGCTGAGTCCCTCTCACCAAAGCCACCAGAACAGGCCTCTCTTGGTTCCTGGACAAAGTCCAAACTTGACCCCACCCCAGCCACCCAGCTGTATGGCACAGTGTATGGCCAAATTCCTACCCAAATGCTGTACTGTCTTTGAGAGATTAGCATATGGTGGCATTTAACAAACTGTTCAGGGAGGTTTTTTTTTTTGAGATGGGAGTCTCACTCTGTTGCCCAGGCTGGAGCGCAGCGGTGCAATCTCAGCTCACTGCAACCTCCGCCTCCCAGGTTCAAGCAATTCTCAGGGAGATTTTAATAAATGTGTACAAAGAATTAAAGTCTTTCCTTTTGCAAACAACTCTTTCAAAACCACTCAACAGAGAGTGGTTACTGAAGAATTTCCAGAACTTTTAATATGCTACTTGATTGTGAATGGCCAAGAGGGTGGTTTAGCATGTGGCCATTTCCCATATACTTGTTCATGGAAGCTTTGTTCTCAGAGCAACAAGACTAGTTAGGTGGACCCTGGCTTTTCTCTTTCTAGGGATGATGGCAAATGTAACCTCTTCACCTGCAAGTCCACATCCAGGAATTTACCCTACATGCATGCACAGAGATTTATAATATTGACAATTTATAATAAATTACATTTGTATCCATTCATGTTGCACAGAGCTGTTTTAAAAAATGATATATATATATATATATATATATATATATATTAGTATGGAAAGATATCAAACATATATTAAGTGGGGCAAAAAGCAAGGCACAGAATCCTATTTATTTATTTATTTAAAACAGGGTCTCACTCTGTCACCCAGACTGGAGCGCAGTGCCGCAATCACAGCTCACCACAACCAGCCAAGAACTCCATTTATTTAAAATAAAAAGTATAGGCTGGGTGTGGTGGCTCACACCTGTAATCCCAGCACTTTGGGAGGCCAAGGCGGGCAGGTCACGAGGTCAGGACTTCCAGACCAGCCTGACCAACATGGTGAAATCCTGTCTCTACTAAAAATACAAAAATTAGCTGGGTGTGGTAATGCACATCTGTAATCCCAGCTACTCAGGAGGCTGAGGCAGGAAAATCACTTGAAGCTGGAGGCGAAGGTTGCAGTAAGCCAAGATTGCACCACTGCACTGCAGCTTGGGAACAGAGCAAGACCCTGTCTCAAAATAAAATAAAATAAAATAAAATAAGTATATAAATATATAGATGTGGGCCAGGTATGGTGGCTCATGCCTGTAATATCAGCACTTTGGGAGGCCAAGGTGAGCAGAATGCTTGAGCCCAGGAGTTCAAGACCAGCTTGGGCAACATGGCAAAACCCTGTCTCTACTAAAAATACAATAATTAGCTGGGTGTGGTGGTACATGCCTATAGTCCCAGCTACTCAGGAGGCCGAGGTGGGAGAATCACCCGAGCCCGGGAAGCCAAGGCTGCATGAGCCGTGATTGTGCCAGTGCACTTTAGCCTGGGCCATGGGAGTGAGACCCTGTCTCAAAAAAAAAAAAAAAAAAAAAGACAGATAGACATAGATACAGATATAAATGTGTATTTGTAATTATAAAGGAAGAGGTCTGGATATACATTAAAACATTAACCTTGATTACTTCTGGAGAGGAGAGTATCAGATGGGGCTAAAGGAAATATATTCACTTTGACATGATTTAGAGCTACTTCTGTACTATTTTATCTCAAGCATATAATTATGGGCTGGTTGTATACTTTCTAAAAAGAAAATACCAGCCGGGCACAGTGGCTCACGGCTGTAATCCTAGCATTTTGGGAGGCCCCAGCAGGCGGATCACGAGGTCAGGAGTTCAAGACCAGTCTGACCAACATGGTGAAACCCCATCTCTACTAAAAATACAAAAATTAGCAGGGCTTGGTGGCACGTACCTGCAGTCCCAGCTACTGAGGAGGCTGAGGCAGGAAAATCATTTGAACCTGGAAGGCAGAGGTTGCAGTGAGCCGAGATTATGCCACTGCACTCCAGCCTGGTGACAGAGTAAGACTCAATCTCAAAAAAAAAAAAAAAAAAAAGAAAATAAAATACCTTTGGATCTGTGTTGGGAAGTCAGACTCTATGCCAGAGTTGCCCTATTTTCTTTTAAAATTTAAAAGCAACCTCAAACTTAATCAACATTTTCTGTTTTGTTTTTTAAGATGCGTCTCACTCTATCGCCCAGGCTGGGGTGCGGTGGCCCGATCTTGGCTCACTGCAACCTCCGCCTCCCGAGTAACTCAGATTACAGTCTTGCGCCACCAGGCCTGGCTAATTTTTGTATTTTTTTGTTTTTTTGAGATAGAGTCTCACTCTGTCACCCAGACTAGAGTGCAGTGGTGCAATCTCAGCTCACTGCAACCTCGGCCTCCTGGGTTCAAGCAATTCTCCTGCCTTGCCTCCTGTGTAGCTGGGATTACAGACGCACACCACCATGCCTGGCTAATTTTTGTGTTTTTTTAGTAAAGACTGGGTTTCACCATGTTGGGGAGGCTGATCTCAAACTCCTGACTTTATGATCTGCCCGCCTTGGCCTCCCAAAGTGCTAGGATTACAGGCGTGAGCCACCGCACCCAGCCTATTTGTTTGTTTGTTTTAAATACTGCCATGAGTCAGGGCCTGTACTCTCTCTGGGCACTACCTATGAATTGTGGTTAAAAGGAATAGACAGGCTGGGCACAGTGGCTCATGCCTGTAATACCAACACTTTGGGAGGCCAAGGCCAGAGAATCGCTTGAGGCCAGGAGTTAGAAGAGTGACAGAGTGACACTCTGTAAGAAAGGAGGGAGGGAAAGGAAGGAAATGAGGAAAAAAAGAAAGGAAAGGGAAGGAAAGATATATAATTTCATTTTTTAAAGGGGTAGGACAAATTACAGCTGTAACCTCCAATCTGCCTTTCTGCATCAAATTTTTTGAGGTGCATTAAAAGGCTCTCTTAAAATGTCTTTTGAAAATTACATATACTAACACTTTATTTGTGGGAAGAAGGAAAATAGAGACTATCGTACTACATAGTAACTCTGACACCAAAAGCAGAAGGGCCAGCCTCCCTTTCCCCCCAGCTCAGGGCTGACTCCCTCCAGCTGGCTGTTTTCCTCCAAGAGGTGTGACAGTGGTTGTTTTCCAGGGCAGTCCCAGAGTAGCCAGGCAGTCTGCCTTCAAATCAGGCCACACAGGTGGGGCCCAGAGCTGGTGTAACCAAGGTAAGCAAGACATCAGCTGGCTTTTTTCTGCTGAGACTGAAAGTTCAGTCCTGCTTTCTGCCACCTCCCTAGAGATGGCATGCATTGAATTATC